GTATACCTAGAGGTGGAATTTCTGGGTCATATTGGAAGCCTATATTTAACTTCTTGAGGAATGGTGACATTGCTGAAATTGCTTAAGTGACTACTCCGCTTTACATTTGCTAGCATAAAGGAAATTGGCAGTTTCTTCATATCTCCACCATTTGTTAATATTTATGTTGGTTGTAGTTATTCCAGTATGGGCAGAATGTATCTGTGCTTTGGTTTACATTTCCCTCATGAAAATTGATTTGCTTTTATTTTTATTTTAAGGCTCAAATAATTTAGTAGTTTTACTTAGATAAAGGCAGAAACACAATGAAAAGGTAAGCCAAATGAGGCTCATCTTTTCAGTCCTATTGTAGCTCAAAGTTAGCAGTTCAGGAATCATGGCCATTGGGTCCTACTAGGAAGAGAAGAATCTTAGGATACCACCTGTGGGTCAGGTGAAGGAGCCTAGCCCAGGCCCAGTGCTGGGGGGAAGAAGGCCAAATCTGGGATCTGCATGGGGCCTTGCTCCTGGTGTGGGGCACCAGGGCATTGCTGCTGCCCCTGCTGTGCACCTAGCCACTTGAGAGTGCAGTGCATGTGAGAGCACAGGGCCCCATACCAGAAGAGAATCATCATCTGGCACCTTATACAGGCCATTAAACAGTGCTACAGGGACAGAAGTTCTTGTCTTTAACCTCCCAAAGCCAAATGTCTCCTGCATTCTATCACTTAATCTCACCTCCATAGCAGAAGAGCCTTTGTGTTGTCTCTGAGTGAGAAGACAGGCTCACTGGCTGGAAGATCCTGTTAGGATGCACAGGACATTTTCAGCTTTGGTTTCCCACATATTTAGCCTATCTTCAAATATCTAAACCTCTGAAATAGTAGTTGATTTTCATTAATAAGTTGTAAAAGCATATCATTCAGTGTTTTCCAAAAGGCATGACTAGCAAAAACTTACAGTCACTAACTTGGGAGGTTACAATTAATTCCCTCTTAGAAACTTGAAACCTATGGTAGTGACTTCAGTGCAGACCTACTCTGGACAAATAAATGACTTCTACCTAACCTTCAAACATAATGCAAGCATCCTTCCTTGGCACTGTGCTCCTCCTGTGACCTGGACATATGACTTAATCCCTCTTGACCCTTCCTTGCCCTCTCCACCCAAGATAGTGTATGAATGTGTATATGTATGTTTTGCATGTCAAAGTGCTGCAAACAGTGGTTTTCTCATTAGAAAGGATGAAATAATTATCTCATTTGTGCTACAAGCAATAGATGGGATTAAATCAGCAACAGCTGCTTGTGACTATATGTATGCTATTCTAAATCAGGACTCAGAAAGGGCAAAACTCTTCTGATACAACAGTTCTGCTTTTACTTCCCCATTTCATGCTGGATATATTGTTTCAATAAAAGAAAGAGTTAGCCTTTGTTCTAGAATACAGTTCCAAGAGAAACTGAAGGAACAGTTTCTCAACAGTTTGGGTCTGCTCTTGGCAGAAATGGATGCTAAGAGTCAGGTTGTTCTTTATTAAAGTATAACCTAATGTGGCATCTACATGCTGTAGAAACCAAACTCTGGCCCATGCCAGAATCACTGGCTACTACCTCAGTTAACTTCTCTCTTTTATTTTTATTTTTTGGTCTTTTTGAGACAAGGTCTCCCTGTAGCCCCAGCTGGTCTGAAACTCACTATGTAGACCAGGCAGGCCTCAATCTCCCAAAATCTGCCGGCCTCTGCTTCCCAAGTGCTAGAGGATCAAATGTGTGCACCACCACGCCTGGCTTCTCAGTTTTAACAACTCAGGAGATCAGCAGTTGTGTTTTACCAAAGAAAATTAGGGCTGGGAGGTGGGTCAGTTTGTAAAGTGCATGCAGGCTTGGGCCTAAATTTGAATCCCCAGAACCCATGTAAAAAGCAGAGCAAGGTGGTGTATTCCTATAACTCGGAGGAGAGTGGAGCCCTGAAACTCATTGGTCAGCCTAGTCTAATCCATGAGCTTTAGGTTCAGTGAGAGACTCTGTCTTAAAAAAAATAAAGGTGGAAAGACACCCGGCAACCTTGGGTCTCTACACACATGAACCATACACAACACTACTCATAAAAAAAAAAAAACAAAAAAACAAAAAAAAAACAGTGAAAAGAGAATTATAATCCCTTTAAAACTACTTTGATTGTATGTGACCAACTGATTAATGACAAAGGTGCAGCAAGTAAACAGTGTCTTTTCAAATATGGTGCTGGGTCAGCAGGACATCTAGATAGAAAAAACCATGAGTCTTGATCATTCCAGTACGCCATAAATAGTTCCTAGAATGATTTATGGTGTACTGCAAGGATCTGCAAAAGACAGCTATAAACATTTTAGAGAAAAACGTGATATCTGTATTTTCATTGACAAATTTTGTCTTGTTTAGGTTTGCTTTTTAATTTTATGTGTATGAGTGTATTGTCTGCATGTAAGTGCACCTGTTCATGCAGTACCCAAGGAGGTCAGAAGAGTTGAATCTCCTGGAACTGGAGTTATAGGTGATTGTTAGCTGTCATGTGGGTGCTGGGAATCAAACCTGGGTCCTCTTTTAACCACTGGGTCCTCTTTTAAGCAGCCAGTGCTTTTAACCACTGAGCCATCTCTCCAGCCCCTGTTTTGCTCTTTTTGAGACTGGGTCTCACTATATTGCTATGTTCCCTTGCACTCACTGTGTAGCCTAGGCTGGCCTCAAATTTGTTATCCTATTCAACCCACCAAATTCAGTAAAGGTTTTTAATATATAAACCAGAAAATAGTCATCATAAAGGAAAAAAATGATGAGTAGGACATTAGAATTGAGAAATTAAGCTGGGCATAGAGGCTCATACCTATAATCCTAGCACTCTAGACACAGAGGCGGGAGGATTACCACAATTTTCAGGCCAGTTAGGGCTATATAATAAGATCCTGTCTCAACAACATACATATACATATATATATGTATATATGTTTATCAAAATAAGCTGGGCGTGGTGGCGCATGCCTTTAATCCCAGCATTTGGGAGGCAGAGGCAGGCAGATCTCTGTGAGTTCAAGGCCAGCCTGGTCTACATAGTGAGTTCCAGGCGAGCTGGGGCTACAGGGAGACCCTGTCTCAAAAAGACCAAAAAAAAAAAAAGGAAAATTTAGATGATATTGTTATACATGTGCCAGACAAAAGACCTATATATAAACAGTATTTACAAATTGATATGAAAAAAGCAGATAATGCTAGACTGAAATGCTACAGTGCAAGGCCAAATGACATGTGCCTGTGATCCCAGCACCCAGAAAGTAGAGGTAGGGGAGCACCAGATCCTGTTTCAGAAAGACAAAACAAATCTTCACATGGCTGTCATATGAGAAAATACCAGCTTCAGTAGTCATTCATGAAATACAAATTAAATCATTGTACAGTGAAGTTGAACGTTTATCATGATAATTGAAAAAGGAACATTCTAAGTGTTTGTAAAGATATGGAAAAGGGGTTGGAGAGGTTACTCAACATTAAGAACACTGACTACTCTCACAGAGGTCCAGGTTCAGTTCCCAGCACCCACATAGCAGCTAACAACTATCTATAACTCCAGTTCCAGAGGATCCAGCATCCTCTTCTGACCTCCACAGGCATTGCACACACATGGTACCCTTCACATGGTACCCTTACATACTAGCAGGCAAAACACTCATACCTATGAAATAAGATATCTTATTGTCTTTTTTGAGACAGGGTCTCCCTGTAGCCACAGCTGTCCTGGATTCACTATGGAGACCAAGCTGGCCTCGAACTCACAGAAATCCACCTGCATCTGCCTCCCAAGTGCTGGGATTTGCAGTGGCCACCCTATGGGGGACCCTGCCCTGAGATGATGGATTCGAGGCTCAGGATGAAGACCCCGGGACTTGTGGGTCTGGTAACAAGCTGTTTATTAAAAAAAAATTCAGGTTTTTATACAAGAACTGGCAGTCATGTGGGGTTTGGCAGTTACATACCAAGATTTAGGACATAATTAGACAAGAAACAGGACATACAGTTTTTAGCTGGCGCCAGCTAGGGGCTATTTGTAAAGCAGGATACTTGAACTTTTACCAGGGTTACCAGTGCCTATCTGGTAATGTATTGGCCACAATGTTTTCTTTCTTAGGACAAAAAGCATAATAAACTTTTAGCTTTTAGCTCAGGAGTAAACCTTTAACCTGGTCTATTCTTTTAGCTAGTGATAGCCGAGAGTTATTTGTTCAGATCAAGGAGGTGGGCTAAGCTGTTGACCAAGATGCTTTCTCTCAGAGCAAGGAGCTTAAACTTTTGACCAGCCATTTTTGTTCTGCTAGTCCTGCAGTGTTCGGCAAGACAGGGGTCTGAGGGCTACACCCCTCCCTTTAGCAGGGATTGTAGCTTGATCTTAAAGTTTCAGATCCATTTTACCCTAAAGCATGCCATCCTGGTTTCCTCCAGGGATTAAAGGCATTCATGGTGCTAAATAAATTTTTTTTAAAAAAGCATTCATAGTACTTCCAAACTAGACACAACCCAAAGTAAGGCAACAAGATACATTTGACATCACACAAATGGAATACTGTACATCATGCATGTATTAGATTATGTGTGACACTGAGGAATAAAGATCACTTATATTGTATGGGTTTATTTAAACAAAGTTCAAAAACAGATGAAGTGTTAAAGTTTTAGAAAATAAGGGTACTATTTACCTTTGCAGGGAGGGAAGGAATGAAACAGGACTACTTAAGTTTAGTAAGCTGACCTTCCTCCCCTCACTTCTTGACTTGAGGGCTGGTATAAGTTATATACTTAAGATTTGTGTACTTTTCATTATGCATGTTTTTGTTCAATACAGGTTTTAAAGAATAGCTTCAATAGTTCTTTTTAGCGATTGCCAGTAAATTATGAATAAATATGAAGATTTTTCTAATTCTAAGGAACTAGACTAATTCGTTCTTTTCCCTGTGTCCACTGAACTTTTTCCATTCAACATTTATATTGAAGACCTTCAAGATCATCCAATGAGAATTTTATATGACCTTCATTCAGAAGTCCAGACTCTAAAGGTATCATTCCTATAATATTAAGTTATCATTCTTCTATGGTGGGTAATTTTCTTTAGCTTTAATAAACTTAGAAGTTAGAAAATGTGTAATGTGTTTTGTTTTCCTCCTAAAAGGATGATATTAATAGTCTTCTTGATAAAACAAGATTGGAAAATCAAGAAAGCACTGATTTCTTAAAGGCAACAAAAATACTCATGAAAAAAAATTCAGCGGATATCATAAAAATAAGAGAGTTTTTTGAGAAGTATGGATATAATACACGTGTCAAGGAAAATTCAGGTTTGATTAACTTTCATTTCCTAGCACTTGGCTTAGTATTAAGGAAGGCTTAATTGAGGCTTTTAGTTCTGGCCCTGTTGGGATGACTGTCATTCCATTAACATTCAGCACTGGCTGTGATAGTAGTACAGTATAAAATAGTCCTAAGTGAATTTGAGGAAAATCTGGACTGCAGCCTGGGTTACATAGTAGCAAGACTTGTTACAAGAAAATGAAAAGTAAAACAGTCTTTGCTCACCTTTTCTTGGTGCTAGATGAGAGTTCTTTGAGCTGTTTAAAATGAATTAGGGGCTGGTGAGATGGCTCAGTGATTAAGAGCACTTACTTCTTTTCCAGAAGACCTGAGGCCAATTCCAAGCACTCACATTGGGCAGCTCACAACCACCCATAACTCCAGCTCCAAGGAATCTTGACTCCCTCTTCTGGCTTCCATGGGTACCCCCACACATGTGCACATAAATATACACAGAGACACATACACATAATTAAAACTAAATCTTTAAACCCATGTGATTTAGGATTGGCAAGATATTTCTAGTAAGTTCTAACATTAAATAACTGGGCCAGCATGGTGCTGCATGCCATTAATCCTAGCACCCGGGAGGCAGAGGCAGGAGGATCTCTGTGAGATGGAGGCCAGCATGGTCTAGCATGATCCACGCCAGCTGTAGCTACAGGGGGACCCTATCTCCCAAAACAGAACAAAACAAATAACAGAAAATACAATAAATAGCAGGGAAACCACAAGTTACTATTTCATTTGATAGATAGATAGATAGATAGATAGATAGATAGATAGATAGATAGATGATGGATTAATGGATGGATAGATAGTTAGATAGAAAGAAAGAAAAGGTACGTACATAGGTACTTGGTAGACTGTGGACACAATGGTACTAAATAGACAGATGAGAGATGATAGAGAAATATTTGGTAGGTGAAAGGGTAGGTAGGTGACCGAGAGGATAAAGTTTTCATGACAGAATATCATGGACAGACCGACTTAACAGCACATCTTCTTCCACAGCCGCGCAGGTGCTCCTAAAGCCACCCTCCCTGGAATCTGGCATCTTCCTGTGTCCTTACATGACTGTCCCTGGTGCAGCCTTCATAGATAGATAGATAGATAGATAGATAGATAGATAGATAGATAGATAGATAGATAGATAGATAATTTTTTCAGATTCCTCTTCTGTAGAATGAGAGACTTGAATTATATAAATTGATAAAGTCTTTTTATAGTTCTAATTTTTACTTCATTTTTTTGAGACAGGGCCTTACTAGGTTGCACTGCCTGGCCTAGAACTCAACCAAGTAACAGAAGGTCTGGCCTGGAACTCATAAAGATCCATCTGCCTTTGTCTCTTAAGTACTAAGGTAGTTGGAAGATTTTAATGAAGGAATACAGCATAGTGGTTTAGTATTAAACCAAAGGCCAAAGGCCCAGTGTTGTGGTATATTCCTATCCCAGCCTCCTGGGAGTCTAAGAAGAATCACAAGTTCAAACATACTCAGCCTAATTACTAACCATGTTCCTCATTTGTAAGATGGGGATATTTAATACATCTCTTTCATGAGGTTGTAAAAAGACCAATGAGCTGAGCATAATCCCAGCCCTTTGGAGGCCAAGGCAGGAAGAACATGAGGTGGAGGCCAGCCTGGTGTGCCAGTTAGCCCAGTATTAAATACCTTTGCTGCTACTCTGTCCATATCTTTAATGTGCTTCAGTGTTTTCATGTCTTATGAAAAATCACCTTTGTATATAAGTAAAACATTAACAAAATTCAGCAGTTATATAACTGAGAATATTTGTGGTAGGTATTTTAAATAGCATGGCAGAATCTATTTGACTTTGGTATGAAAGAACCATAGATTCAAATGTTCTCCTCCCCTGTTTATGGCATGTGTAATTCTTTGGATAATTTTTCTACATTGCTTTTTTCTTGTTTTTGAGGTAGAAATACTGTCTCACTATTAAGACTGATGGCTTTACTTTATTAATCTCATCAATGAAAGACCTGAAATAAAACAGTCTTTGGCAACTCTTGCAGCATTCCTCAGAACTAACCAAAAACACAGTGCCGAGACAACTCAGCTAGTCGGGAACTTCTCTAAGGGTCAGAAGCCACAAAATCAAAGTATAAAGCTTATTAATAGTTGAGAAAAGGCATATCTTTTTTTAAAAAACTTTTTTAGCTCGGTATGGCAACATACACCTTTAGTCCTAGCACTCAGGAGGTAGATGCAGGTGGATCTCTGTGAAATAGAGGTCAACTTGGTCTACATAGCAAGTTCTCCCAGCTGGGGCTATAGGGAGAATCTGTGTCAAACAGAAAAAAATTTAAAATAGACTTTTAAAATTTTATTTTTTATGTGTGTGAACAGTATTGCCTGCATGTATTAAGTGTACCTGTGTCCTGCAATGGCTGCAAAGGCCAGAAAAGGGTGTTGGGTCCCCTGGAACTGGAGTTAAGGACAGCTGTTAGCCAACGTGTGGATGCTGGGCACCAAACCTGGGTCCACCTTTCTACCTAGGTCCATTGCCTCGGCTTTGCTTTTTTTCTTTTTTCCTTTTTCTTTTTTTGAGTCAGGGTCTCTCTGTAGCTCCAGCTGTCCTGAAACTTGCTGTGTAGACCAGGCTGGCCTTGAACTCACTGAGATCTGCCTGCCTCTACCTCCCGCATGCAGCTATGCTTTTGATAAAGATGTTCTCAAGCTAAGAAAGGATAAAAATTGATCTTTGTATACCGCTTTCCTTCTGAACTTAGGCATCTAAAAGTTAAAAGTTTTAAGAACAGCCAGGCGCGGTGGCACACACCTTTAATCCCAGCACTTGGGAGGCAGAGGCAGGCAGATCTCTGTGAGTTCGAGGCCAGCCTGGTCTACGTAGTGAGTTCCAGGTCAGCTGGGGCTACACGGAAACCCTGTTTCAAAAAGACAAAAAAAAAAAAAAAAAAAAAAAAAAAAAAGAAGAAGTCTTAAGACTGGCGAGATGGCTCAGAGGGTAAAAGTACTTAGTGCCAGTCCTGACAACCTGAATTTGATCCCTGAGATCCACAACAGAACAGACTCTTAAAAAGTTGTCCTCTGCTGGGCAGAGGCAGGTACATCTCTGTGAGATCAAGGCCAGGCTGGTCTCCATAGCAAGTTACAGGCCAGCTATGGCTACAGGGACACCCTGTCTCAAAAAAGACAAAACGAAAGAGTTGTCCTCTAATCTCCACAAGCACATTGTAGGCATGCACACACACAAAATAAATAAAAATGTTATTTTAAATTTTTTTAAGGGGCTAAAGAGATGGCTCAGCAGTCTAGAGGTTCTACTGCCCTTACAGAGATGACCTGGGTTTCGTTCCCAACATTCACATAAGGGAAGCAAGTGCCTGTAACTGGGTCCCAGGCTCTACTTGCTGGATCTTACATACCACACCATCCACTGTTATTCAGCAGGCTGACTCAGTGACTGATGGAGATGTCATAAATGCTGCAAGAAAGTTTGTTTCTGGCCAGAAATCAATGGCAGCAAGTGGAAACTTGGGACATACACTTTTCTTTGATGAGTTGTAACACAGAAACACATATTGGAGGGGGAGAGCCCCAACCAGCAAATAACATCGAAATCAGAGTCTCTTAACATTTGTCATTTTTTCTCAGTGAGGTAAAATACCTTGAAACAGAAATGTGAGTAGTTATTCCCAGCTGACCTAGAATCAATAAAGTGTGATGTTTAAAAAATAAATATTAAAAAGTGCCTACAACTCTGGTTTAGTGGATCTGATGCCTTCTGGCTTCTGGCACCTGCACGGTACACATAAACTCACAGATGCATGCATGCATACAAATATAAATAAATTTAAAGTTAAAAATCTCAAATTATAATTATACTCTGTAGTCGGGCGAGGTAGCACATGCCTTTAATCCCAGCACTTGAGGAGAGGCAGGCAGATCTCTGCATTCAAGGCCAGCCTGGTCTACAGGCCAGCTGGGAATACAGGGAGACCCTGACTCAAAAAGACCAAAATGATAAATAATAATAATATACTTTGTGTTAAATCTAGAACAAAATTTATAATATACTAATTGCACACTAATAATAGTTTCAGAAAATACTAAATCTCATTATTGGTGAAAGTAAGGAAATTGGATTTTATTTGTAAGTGTTGTCTTTTCAAAATAGTTTAGTTTCTCAGAGGTATCATCCAGGTAGAATACAAGTAGGTAAGATGTGCAGAAGAGAGAGTTGAAATAAAATTTTTAGAAAATCTAAATTTTTGCTGATGAGGGAAATTTCAGACGGAGCTATTTTATATTTTAATAAATAAGATTTTCTGTTTTGAAATGTGATCAGAGTATTATCTTTGATATTTTTTTCTCTTAGTTTGTGAGCAAGAAGCCACTGACTCCACCCCAGTGTTGGCCATATGTGAAGATTTTCAGAAGTCTGGTGTGAAGGACGATCTGTCCGATCCCTGTGTTCCATGCAGTTCTGTTTCTGAGATGCTGCTACGAAGTCCACAGCTTTCAGATTTTGGACTTGAGCGATACATGATCTCCCAAGTACTACCAAACCCTCCCCAGGCAGTAAGCAGCTGTAAGGAAGAGTGCATGATTGAATCCCCTCCTGCCAAAGAATCATTTGTTAAAGTGTTGAAGACTCCCAGATGTGCTCTAAAGATGGATGATTTTGAGTGTGTAACTCCTAAATTAGAACACTTTGGTATATCTGAATATACTATGTGTTTAAATGAAGATTATACAATGGGACTTAAAAATATGAAAAACATTAAAAGGTAACTTGTACAAAAATATTTTATGTGTATGAGTATATTACCTACATGTATGTAAATGCACCTGTATTGTGCAATACCTTCAGAAACCAGAAGAGGGTGTTGAATCCCCTGGAACTAGAGTTACAGATGGTTGTTAGCTGCCTTGTGGGTGCTAGGAACTGAACCCAGATCCTCTGCAAGAGCAGCCAGTGCTCTTAACCACTGAGCCATTTCTCCAGCCCCTAAAAAGTAACTTTTAAAAAAAATTTATTATTTTTATTTTATGTGTATGAGTGTTACGCCTGCATGTATGGAAGTGCACCCATGTTGTGCAATGCCCGCGGAGGTCAGAAGAGAGTGTCAGATCCTCTAGAACTGTAGTTACGGACAGTTGTTAGCTGCCATGTGGGTGCTGGGATCTGAACCCAGGTCTTCTGCAAGAACATTCAGTGTTCTTAACTGCTGAGCCACATCACCAGCCCCAAAAGTAACTTTTTAAGAGGTACATTTTTACCTAACTTCTTAAATATTTGTTGTTTTTTTTTTCTTTCTCTTTTTGTTTTTGGTAGAAAAAAATATGTTTCAGACATTTTCTTTTAGAAAGATCTCAGATATTTCATATTTTAAACCTCTTAAATCACTTTAACAAAGTATGAGCTACTGATTTCCTTAGGTGAGAAGCTGTGGAAGGAGTAATAGAATCAGTGTTATTTTCTGTGTGGCTGTCGTCCACATATATGTGTAAATGGCTAATCATGCTTAATAAAAGGACAGGATCAGTCTTTGTTTTTTTTGAGACAGAGTCTTCCTGTAGCCCCACCTGGCCTCTATCTCAGAGAGATCTGCCTGCCTCTGCCTCCCGAGTGCTGGGACTAACAGCTTGCACCAATATGCCTGGCTCATAATGAAAAATTTCTTAACATGCTTTTGTATACTAGGTAGAAAATTCCACAGTTTGAAGCCATAAGCTATACAATTCCTATATTCAAATGAGAGAGTTAAATGTACAGATTTCCTTTGTTACAAGCTGTTTATCCACTTCAACATTATCAAGATAAGATACCACTTCTGTCTCCTAACTACTAGTATTGCAAGTATATTCCTGAACACCTGGATACTATATAGTTACATATTTAAAATACATATTTTGAATATAAAATTGGGGGGGGCTTTTCCCCCCATGGGTCTTTATTTCATAAACTAGACTGAACTACTCCAGACTGGAATATATTTGAAGTATTTTTTTTACAAAGGTTGAATATTAACTTTTTTAACTTTATAATTTCCCCTTGAATCATATCAGTGAGGAGGCCATAGGAACAGGGCCTGTGACCAATGATAATTCTTTTGCCACTCCTGGTTCCATAATCCAGCAGCTGGAAAAAAGTGGTGAGTTTAAAAATCAATTTCTCGTCTGTACTCTTTCCAGACTGTCCTTGTACAAAAATGAGTCTCCGGCTGTAGAGATTCTAGTAGCATTCTGCTTCTTTAATCTGTAACATTGAAGTTTATTAAGTACCATTTCATTCAGGTTCGGCTTGATTTCATCTGAGAAAGAAAAAAATTTTAATATTTATTTTTATGTGTATGTGTGAGTGCCTACATGTATGCTGGGATTAAAGGTGTATGCTACCACCCAGCAAGGTAATATTAAAAAAAAAATTTTAGTTTATTATGTTTATTTTATGTGTATGAGTGTATTACCTGCATATATGTACATTCACCTGTGTTATACAGTACCCACAGAGGCCAGAAGGGGGCATTGGAACGCCTGGAACTGGAGTTAAGGACTGTTGTTAGCCACCATGTGGGTGCTGGGAACTGAACCTCAGTCCTCTGCTGAGCCAGCTCTCCAGCCCTAGTTAACATTTTTTTAACCATTAATAACAAAGTACGCAAGTTAAACTGACAGTGCTTATAACTTAAAAGTTAAAATATTTATTTCAACTTTACTTTCATGCCCATTTTTTGTCTTCTAGAGGCTGAATACACAAATTCACCCTTGGCACCCAAATTCTGCACTCCTGGTTTGAAAATTCCTTCTACAAAGAACAGTACAGCTTTGGTAAAGTTCATTAACATTAAAATCATCCTCTTTAAGACTTAGATACACTACTTCTTCTAAAGTCAGTCTGTCTAAAAAACAGACAAATGTAGCTCTTTAGGACTACATATACAGTGCCTTTCTGGAGGGTAGTTTAACACTATAGAGCTAGAAGAGCCTTATATTTTTTCATGCCATATCAAAATTTGTTCAAGGCAAATTGACGCAGAGATTTATAACAAGCTATTGGAGGAACATGAAAACATGGGGAACGATGTAAATGACAATACAAAAGCAGCAAAATTCAGTAAGGCATTTTCGAGAGCTGCTGTCATGTATCTGTCATATTTTGAAAAACACAAGATGGTGTAAAAAGAATATTTTCAAGAGATATTTGTGGAAATTATTAAATATACACACACTCTTGCATACATGCTTATATCTTTTTTTTTTTTTTTTTTTTTTTGTTTTTTTTTGTCTGTCTCTGGGCGCGCGCTCTCTCCGCTGTGCTCGCTGTCCTACACCTTTCTATGTCGACCGGGGCGGCCTTGAACTCACAGAGATCCACCTGCCTCTGCCTCCCGAGTGCTGGGATTAAAGGCATGCGCCAAAGAAGAATGGATAGAAACAGACCAAAATGTGACCGAATTATGGATAATTTAATGCCTCTCCCCCTCCAGTTATTTGTTGTTGTTAACAAATTATTTAATGTAATCAAACCTTACTCTTTAGAGTCACAATCAACATGTAAGACAACCACTACTATTGGATATCTTAAAGTATCCAATAATGTTGGATATGTTCTACAATTTCCATTGTTCAGTATGGTATCCACTAGTTACGTGAACTTTTTACATATCTGAAATGTGGCTGATGCATGTGAGCTTGTGGGTAGTACACTGACCCGTGCAGCTGCAGACAAGCAGTGCTTGTGACTAGGTTAACTGCCTGCAGGTACTTGCCATTCACATCTTTTTTTTTAGATTTTTAATTTACTTTTATTTTATATATATGAGTTATGCCTGCATATACGTAAGTACACCCATGTTGTGCAGTGCCCACAGAGGACAGAAGAGGATGTCAGATCCCCTGGAATTAGAGTTACAGATGGTTGTCAATAACTACCATGTGGGTGCTGGGATTTGAACCCAAGTCTTCTGCAAGAGCAGTCAGTGCTGTTAACTGCTGAGCCATCTCTCCAGCCCCGCCATTTACATCTTTTACATGTTGTGTTGGTTTTTGGTCTTTTTTTGAGAAAAGACCTTTTTAAGTCTTGAATCCCTGACCTTCCTGTCTCCGGCTTTCATGAGCTAAGATGACAGGCATGTACCACCCTACCTGCTTACTTCTTAAGTTGCCTGCCTTTGCCTTCTAAGGGCTGGGATCAAAGGCATGTGTCACCACACCTGGCACTTCTTAGCTTCTGTTCCTATGGGAGCCACCTTGTTGATAAGCTACTCCTAGCTTCTCTGTGTTTTTATTAGCTTGTGACTTATCCAAGTAGTGAATTTAGTGTGAGTGAACTGTATAGTAAGCCTATCTGCTTCTTCCTTTTGGGAGTGAGCCTGCCTGTGGAGGGCGTGTCTAAACAGTTTTTCCCTTTTTTCTGAGAGTTATCACTACATAGCTAAGGCTGGCCCTTCCTACTTTTGCTCCATGCTCTCTCTACCCTTAGCACCTAAATTCTGTAGTCCTGGTTTGAGAATCCCTTTACAGAGAATCACAGAGTTATGGGAAGTTCCATAAAATTAAAAGTTCTAATCTTCCTCATGACTCAGGTCTAACCACTACTTTATCTTTCTTACTTCAGCTCCCAATCAGCCTCAAGTTTTGTGGTGCTTGAGATAGAGTGGGAGAATCTGTCTAAATCTGGGGGTCAGTCACTATTCCATTGAGTTCTCACAGTAAGCCTTTATTAGTAATAAAAAATGGTATTTTGTCTTCCATATATGATTTTTTCATTTTTCTTGATTTTTGTATCAACTCAGGAAAATGGGGTCATTTTGGGTCTTAAGTAAAATTCCTACAGAACTAACAAGTAAAAAAAAAAATTTTTTTGTCTTTTTGAGACGGGGTCTCCCTGTAGCCCCAGCTGGCCTGGAACTCCCTATGTAGACCAAGCTGGCCTTAAACTCACAGAGATCCACCTGCCTCTGCCTCCCAAGCATTGAGATTAAAGGCATGCACCACCATGCCCAGCTGTAAAAATTTTTATTTACCATCATTCAGTGATATATTTTTATTCTATAGGTATCAGCAAATCACCCATTATCAAAACCAAATAGTTCATTGGGTGATTTGGAAGTTAAAGACTGTACACCGTTAATTCTAAATTCAGATGAGTGCTATGAGAATTTTGCAGATCCTTCTTCTCCTACAATTTCCTCTTATGAAAATCTCCTCAGAACACCTACACCTCCAGAAGTAACTGCAATTCCTGAAGACATTCTCCAGGTTCGTTTTCTGAGCTATTGTAATTTTTTTCTAGTATTCTTTTCAAAATCAGATATTTACATTAAAGATCTGAAATTGCATATAAACTCTTATTTACCATCAAGCTAATGTGCTACTTTTAGTTTTGAGAAAAACCTAATTTCTAGGCTGTTAGGGCTGTTCTGAAACCCTTCTGGGAAGGGCTTTCTTGAGCTAAGCACTGGCTTCTAATTTCATGACTCTCATGGGGTATTTTCTCTTTAACTTCATGTTCTAAAATGTACTTTTTTTTTTTTTTAGACAGGGTCTCCTTGTAGTCCCAGCTGTCCTGGAACTCACTATGTAGACCAGGCTGGCCTTGAACTCAAAAAGATCCGCCTGCCTCTGCCTCCCAAGTACTGGGATTAAAGGCGTGCACCACCACACCCAGCTAAAATATACTTTTTTGTTAATTTTTCAATTGTGGTTGCCACATTGGTGCATGGTTTTACATGTATTAGAATGGCTGACTCTTCAGTATAACATCACTGACTGATAAACTCTACTAAATGATTCCACCAGGCTGATTCTTTGACTTTGTGATCCTAGTTATGATGTTTGGCAATTATTGCCTAGGTGCAAGGAATTCTTTGTGTGTCTGTGTGTCTGTGTCTGTTTCTTTTTGAAACAGGGTTTCCCTGTAGCCCCATCTGGCCTGGAACTTGCTATGTAGACCAGGCTGGCCTTGAACTCACAGAGATCCACCTGCCTCTCCCTCCCAAGTGCTGGGATCAAAGGGATGCACCACTACACCTGGTTAAGTATGAGGAATTCTTAATGACCATTCTAGAATTGTTCCTAGTTTATAGGAGTATGAAAACAATAAATCATATGGGAAAATGCCTATGTGCCAAAAGAGCTGACTCACCCTTCCAGATCAATAAAGAATTTGTTACCTTTTGTCTTTTTTTGCTTTTCTGGGAAGTAGAATAAACTAGGTGAGGAGGGAGGGAACATGTTCTTTGTTTATAGGTGTTTAGTGGAGATGGTATTTCCCATTATAGACTCTTCTTCCAGTAAAGGGAAAAAGACATTGTCTTTTCCCCCCCTATATAGTGCTGGGGATCAAACACTGGGACTTGTGCATGATACTGAAACACTCTACCATCTCACTGCACTCCCAGTTCCAAGGAGATCTTACGTTTTATATGCTACTTCTATTTCTCTTTTTAATTCTTAAAAAAATATTATTTGTGTGTGTGTGTGTGTGTGTGTGTGTGTGTGTGTGTGTGTGTAAGTGCACCCATGTCATGCAGTATCCACAAAGGTTAGAAGAGGGCATTGGGAGTTGGGCATAGTGGCGCATGCCTGTAATCCCAGCTCTCAGGAGGCAGAGGCAGGCAGATCTCTGTGAGTTTGAGGCCACCCTAGTCTACAAAGTGAGTTCCAGGCCAGCTGGGGATACAGAGAGACTCTGTCTCAAAAAGACAAAAAAAAAAAAAAAAGGGAACTGGAGTTACAGATGGTTGTTAGCTGTCGTGCGGGTACTGGGAACTGAACCCCAAGAACAGCCAGTGCTCTTACCCACTGAGCCATCTCTCCAGACCCTTCTTTTCATTTTTAGGGCAATTTAAAAATTATATTTATGTACAGAAAACAGCAGTGTACACTTAATCCACTTTGGTGGCGATTTCTTTGGCCTTTGCCTTTTCCACTCTGGCAGTGCAAGTCACAGATTTTGGACCCAGGACACTGCCTCTCCAGTGATGGCGAATCTCACCATATCTGTCATTGTAATTAATTAATTGGTCTTGATAGCTTTTACGAGCCTAGTCAGAGCACCTTTGTCTGAGTTAACCTGTGTGAAGGCAGCAGTGGTCCATGTCTTCCCATGAACCAACCACCCCAGCCTGGCCTTCCCCTTGAAGATGAGGTAGGGGACCCATCTTACAGCACAAGGCAGGCAGGAAGACCACCAGCTCAATGGGGTTTATATATATCATGAGCCTTCTTGTTCTCCACCAAAGCAGTGACTCTTGACCCCTGGGGCAGGTGGCCTCTTGCTGAGGTTGTCCCCTTTGCCAGCACTTGCTTCTTAGCTCAGACCAACGGCCTCTACTTACCCTTCTGCTTTGTCTCTGACCTTTTGGCATTTTGCTTAGCTGAAGGAGACTTTTCAGTGTTTTTGGTGTTGGTGTTGGTGTTTTGACTTTTTTTGACAGGGTCTCCCATAACTCCTATCTGACTTGGGGCTTGGCTATGTAGACCAGGCTGGCCTCTCTCTCACAGAGATATGCCTGCCTCTGACCCCAAGTGCTGAGATTAAAGGTGTGTGTCATCATGTCCGGCTTTTAGTGTTTTAATTAGCATATATTAGTTATATAATAATGGGTTTCAAGTACGACACATGCATGGAATTTTCATGCATGTATATAATGTATTTTGATATTTATAGACTCACACGTACCCTTGCCTTCTCTTGTTGAACTCCTGCTCATCCCCTTCCTCTTTACAACCAGTCTCCTTTCTACTTTCATGGTGGGTGGGTGGGTGGGTGTGTGTGTGTGTGTGAGCACGCACGTCCAAATGAGTTTCATTGAGAGTGCTTATGGGAGTGTGGGTTACAGTTTGTTTACAGGAGTGTGGGCACTTTACTAGTGGCTACACTCTGAAAATGTCTCACCCTCCCCTGTTAACCATTAACTGTCTATAAATCCTCTGAGAGAGGTAGGGTGTGGCCCCACCTCCCTCTGTGATGGGATGCTGATTGGCTCAGTCTTATGTAGTGCTAGTCAGGTAATCACAGCTGCTGTATATAGCTGCTTTATGCATGAAAAGGTACTGCTATTTCAGGTTTTTCTTTTTATACTCTTTTGAACATTTCAAAGTATTCCTGTACATTTACTCTATAACATATTTATAGACTTATTCAGCTCTCAGAAGTGTCTTGCTACTTATTTCCATTAACTTTGATAAGTGTGTTTTAATACAAGGTTTTAAATTTATTTTGATTTTTTTTTGACACCTTTTTTTTTTTTTTTTTTTTTTTTTTTTTTTTAAAAAAAAAAAAAAAAAAAAAACCTAGCTGGCCTAAAACTCACTATATAGACCAGGCTGGCCTTGAACTCACAGGGATCTGCCTGCCTCTGCTTCCTGAGTGCTGGGACTAAAGGCATGAACCACCACACCCGGCCAAGCTAATTTTGATTTTTTTTTTTTTTTTTTTTTTTTTGTCGTCTTTTTGAGACAGGATCTCCTTGTAGCCCCAGCTGTCCTGGAACTCACTATGTAGACCAGGCTGGCCTTGAACTCAGAGAGATTGCCTGCTTCTGACTCCCAAGTGCTGGAATTAAAGGCATATGCCACCACGCCCGGCTTGATTTTTTTTTTTTTTTGACACATTTTTACTTATTTGTATGTATGTATGCATGTGTGAGGGAATGTAGGCTGTGGCATTCATATGGTGGTCAGAGGACATCTCACATGAGTGGATTTTCTCCCACCATGTGAGTCCAGGGGATTGAACTCAGTTAATCAGGCTTAGTGGCAGATACCTTTACCAGCTGAACCATCCCTTCAGCCTGCATTTTAGATATCAAACCCCCCACATGGAAGTTAAATTTCTTTGTTATATCTGTATATACTGCTCACAATTTTTTAGTATTTATTTTTAAGTTTTCCATGAGTTTTTGAAAGATTTTTTATGTGTATGAGTATTTTGCCTGCATGTAAGTGCACTTGTGTCATGTAATGCCCGCAGAGGCCAGAAGAGGGTGTTGGATCACCTGGAACTAGAGTTGCAAACAGTTGTTAGCCACCATGTGGGTGCTGGGAACCCAACCCAGGTCCTCTGGAAGAGGAGCCAGTGCTAAGCATCTATGGTTTTCTTAAATTTTTATAACACCTTCCAAATTTGTTGTTCACATGACTTGATAAAAAGGAATTTGTTTTTTAGATTTTATCAAAACACAACTCAAACCTAGCCACTCCTGTGGCAGTTAGAGCAGTGCCATCGAGGAAAGGATTCCTCAGACATGAAGGGCAGAGCATCAGAGGTGCCCCGCAACAAAGAGAACTGGTGAAGGTGAGTCTGAAGAAGTACCTGCATCATTTGAGGAGATGCTTAAAAAATCACATCAGTTTGCTGTGGAGATTTTTTTCTTTTTATTTTATGTGTATGAGTGTTATGCCTACAGGTGATTGTTATGCCTACAGGTGAGTAAGCGCACCCATGTCATGCAATGTCCTTGGGAGGACAGAAGAGGCCGTCAGATCCCCTGGAACTGGAGTTATAGACAGTTGTTAGCTGCCATGTGGGTACTGGGATTCGAACCTGGGTCCTCTGCAAGAACAGTCAGTGTTAACCGCTGAGCCATCTCTCCAGCCCTGAGATTTTGTTTTTCATTTACAATTTGCCAGTTTGGGTTAACAGCCAGGTCTCTATCCTCAGCTTTGTAGGAATGACTTTTACAACATAGAATCTGGACTAAGGCTTTTACTTAACCTTGCACCAAAAAGGTGCAAATGTACACAAATGTAAACAAGCTGAGCGTGTGCTCCTTAATCCCTCAAGACCTCACTTTGTCCTCCACTCAAAATAGAAAATGAATGTGGGTGTGCTTGTTTAACATATCAAAGCACTGAAAGTAACTGTGTAATATCTTAGGCCTAGGGATCAAAGGGCATGATTCTCTGATGAGATGGGGGTGGATCCTAGCTTTGATTTCCTCAGTTGGTACTGGAGATACTTTCTAAATGAAGTACGAGTGAAGCCTTCTCTACGGAGAGCACAGTTACAAGAGACATCAGGAGGAGCAGGTGGTTCTCAGAGTTGGGGTCCACTCTTGGCCTTAGATGCTAAGTGTCAGGCTGTTTCTTTATTCAGATGTAACTGTAATGTGGCTTGGTAATGCACAAATTCTCAAATTATCAAGTTTGATATTTAAGGTTTATATTTTATGTGTGTGTGTGTCTTTGTGTCCGTGTGAGTGTATGCCATGTGTGTGAAAGGTGCATGTGGAGGCTAGAAGAGAGTAATGGATCCCCTGGAACTGGAGTTATCAGACTCTTACGAGCTGCCTGGTAGGGTGCTTGGAACTGAACTGGAAACTGAGCAGAAAGTACTCTTAATTGGCTGAGCCAGCTCCCCAACCCCTAGCTTTCTTGTAAGTGTAAAATACATAGATGACATAGTTGTCATCTGTTCTGATGGCTCTTAATTATCCTTGCCTGATTTTTATTTGTTTCTGTTTGCAGGAATCTTAGTGGATGCATCGATTATAGAGACTGAACAGAAACAGATGGAACCAAAACTGGACTTTTTATTCATTTTCCTCTCTTGTTCCTTTTAAAAATTGTAACGATCTCACTGATGTTAAATCACCCTACGTAGTCTAATAGAATGGCTTAAGTATTGTCAGAATTGGGACAGTGTTTCATGAAAATGCTACTGCTTGCCATTTCAGTTAGCATGGCCTGGAGGTGTCAGTTCTTCTATTCTGGCATTATCTCCCAGTCTGTCCCAAATCTTTACCATGTTCTATGTCAGTGTTCTTTTAAGACTACAAACCTAGAGACACAGCTTTCAACTGACTTAGGAAAAGAGGGGACTTCCCAGCGTTAGCACAGGGACCAGTGGAGGTAGAGGGAGGACTTGGATAGAATGAGGGGTTCCCTGCTGCTGAGGGCTTTTCCTTTTCTCCCAGCTTCTCACTGTCACAGTTTCATTCTCACATTGGCTTCACCACATTGCTCTTGGCCTCTCTGGCTTTGCTTCCCAGCTTGGCACCCAGCAGATCCTCACCTCAGTCTCTCTGGAGGGTTCTGTATACCTGGATACAAGCCTTCAGAACTTCTGGATTCTAGAACTACCTAATTCCCATTGAACCCACGGACCTTCTGTTTAAGAACAACCTGGACAGGGAGAAGTTGGGATGAATGTGGTCAGAATACCTTGCATGAAATTCTCAAGTAATAAAACCTCATTAAAAAGAACTAGAAAGCAATTATATAATTAAATTCACACTAGCAGTATTGGGAGAACTTTAAATTGCAGCCAACTGGAAGATAGGCAGCTAGAAGTTCTCTGTAGACCAGCCAAAAGTTTGAGAATTGATCAAAAAATAAATAAAAAGGTGCTTTACAGGCTTACTAGCTTTACAAAATTTCATGTGGCATAAAGATTATTCTAAATTGTGTTGAAAATCAAGTGGGAAAATTACTGTGTAGGTCTAAGGTGTTGGTTTTGTTTTAATTATATGTATCATCTGTGGTATATGTACATGAATGTGGGTCCCTGTGGATCCCAGAAGAGTTTTAAATGCCCTGGAGCAATTGTGAGCCACTCAATGTGGGTACTAGGAATAGAGGTTGGGTCCTCTGCAAGAACAGTACACATCCTTAACTGCTGAGCTATCTCTCCAGCCCCCTAAGTTTTGTGTTACATAATGTAGCATTATTTTCGAGGTAAAGCTCTAATCTACCTTTTGTGTGTTGCTGGTCAGGTCATTTCTGGCAACCCCTCTCAGTACTTGGCATTATGGTTGGCAATCCACATATCTGAGACATATCTGAGTAAAGGTGGGAAGAAGCAGAGTAATCAGTCTAGCACAGGAGCCTGGGAAACAGAATAGTGCAGCAGGAAGGATTTCAGTGCTGCTGAGAACTCAAAGGACTGGGTAATGTTGGGTTTGATGAAACTGAAAACGGTGACTAATTTTTGACACCCAGCCAGGTGTGGTGGTGCATGCCTTTAATTCCAGCACTCAGGAGGCAGAGGCAGGCAGATCTCTGAAATTGAGGCCAGTCTGGTCTACATAGCAAGTTCCAGGCCAGCTAAGACTGCAGGGAGACCCTGACTCAAAAAAGACCAAAAGTTTTGACACCTTAGTTTGAGGTGGACTGAAAAAAGGACAAAGGAGAGGAGGTAGAGCATGCTTTGCTAAAGGGGAATAAATGGGCAACCACTAGAGGGAGATAAAATAGAAGTTCTGTTGCCCTCACCCTCATTGCTTTCCTATGTTCCTAGCTTTTGTTGTTTAGGTGGTGATGCTTCTAGCTTCCCAAGCTTCAAGTCTTTGCACTGTTCTTTAAATGAGATCCAAGATCTTTACTGTGACCTAGTGACACTGTGATTTGACCCCAGCTAACCTCTCCTGCTCCTGTATACCTTAGCCACCCCACAGTTGTTTTTTTAATTATATATATTTTCTATTTTATGCACATGAGTGTATTGCCTACATGTAAGTGCACCCATGTCTCACAGTGCCCAAATCCCCTGGAACTGGAGTGACAGTTGTTAACCTGCCATATAGGTGCTGGGAATCAAATGCGGGTCCTCTACAAGAACAGTCAGTGCAGTGCTCTTAACCGCTGACCCATTGGTTCAGCCCCACCCCAGTTTTTTTGAAAATATGTGTATGAGTGTAGTGTCTGCAGGTATATAAGTGCACCCATGATGTGCAAAGCCTGCAGAGGCCATAAGAGGGTGTGGGATCCCCTTGAAGTAGTGTTAAGGACAGTTGCTACCTGTCATGTGGGTGATGGAAATCAAACCTAACCTAGGTCCTCTGGAAAAACAAGGGTTCTTAACCTCTGAACCATCTCTCCAGCCTTGCCACCCATTTTCAGCTTCCTGAGTTCTTTCTGCACACACCAGCTACACTGCCTAGAATGTTTTTTTTTGCCTGTGTTTCACTCTTGTCTTTATAAGAAGTTGGCACCAGACATTTATCTACCTCTCATTCTGCCTTTAGGAACCTAAGACCACAACTCCAAACTCAACCAAGCAGGTGGCAATCCCCTACCTTACCATCATTGATGGGCTGAGCCCTCTGTTGGCCAGAAAGAACAACGGGGGCCTCAGGGAACTGTAGAAAGAACAGCTTTTCTGCAAGTGCAGAGGCATACCTGGAGCCATACAGGTCTTTCCACTACACAGGGTAAGCCTGCCTGGGTACACAGCCCACAGGGCCCTGGCTAGACTTAAGGTATGACACCTGCATCAACAGCTGGTCTAAGGCCACTTAGCCTTGGCTGGCTTAGAACTCATTTTGTAGACTAGGCTGGCCTCAAACTCTTGTAGCAATCTGCTTGCCTCTAATGTGAGTTGGAATTAAAGGCATGTGTCACAGCACCAAGTATAACATTCCTAGGCTAAGGATTTTTTTCAAGTTACTGCTTGAGACAGGATTTCACTATGCAGCTAGCACTGGCTGGCCTGGAACTCCTTACGTAGAACAGACTAGCCTCCAACTCACAGAGATCCACCTGCTTCAGCCTCCTGTGGGCTGGGATCAAAGGTGCCCAGCCTTTGAAGTTTTTAACACAGTATTTATTAAAATTGCTCTCAGGGGCTGGAGAAATGGCTCAGTGGTTGAGAATACTGGCTGCTCTTACAGAGGGACCCAGGTTCAGTTCCACAGCCATCTCTAACACCAGTTCCAGGGATCCAGTGTTCTGGCCTCCACAGGCCACTGCATGCACATGGTCACTTACCTACATGCAGGGAACATTCATACATGTAAAAATAAACTGCTCTTAGGTTTTAGCTTATTTCCTCTAGGAATTTTTCATTTGGGAAAAAAAGAATCTATGACTTCATAGAATGATCGCCTGGTCAAGATTAATCCCTTCTAACAAAAAAAATTCCTAGCTTATTTCCTGAGAAAGACAGCCACTTGGCAAAAGTGCTTTCAGCCACTGAAGTCTTCATTTGGTTGCTCTTACCATTGTCAGGCTGAAACAGCCTCTTTTTCTTAAGATATGTGTTTATGATTTAAGAAACCGATAAAAGCACACACCTTTGATCCCAGCACTTGGGAGGCAGAGGCAGGCACATCTCTGAGTTCGAGGCCAGCTGGGACTACAGGGAGACCCTGTCTCAAAAAGAAATCAACAAAACAGTTTTGTGCTACAGGACTCAATGTCATCTGTAGCTAGAAATCAGTCATTGTGAAAGGTGAGATAATGCTTGGCAAAGTTGCTCTCTAGCAGTGTCTGGCATAGCCAAGCACCTAATCACAGTGCAATAAGCTTGGTTTTAGTGTTGCTTCTGTTACACACACACATGAAAAATAGGTATGGAATTTGGTGTTTTTTGTTTTGGGGGGGGGTTGGTCTTTTTGAGACAGGGTCTCCCTGTAGCCCCAGCTGGCCTTGAACTCAGAGATCTGCCTGCCTCTGCCACCCAAGTGCTGGGATTAAAGGCATGCGCCACCACGCCCAGCTAATATACCCAACACTTAACAAGATACAATTCCTTTCACCTACATGTTTAGGAGGCAAAATATTTATTTTTGGTCTTTTTTTTGACAGGGTCTTCCTGTAGCTCCGGCTGGCCTCGAACTCTGAGATCCGCCTGCCTCTGCCTCCCGAGTGCTGGGACTAAAGGCATGCGCCCCCACGCCCAGTGCTATTCCGCTTTTACAATAAAAGCATTCTTTGAGGCACATGTTCTTGTGTCTCTTGTGCCACTGTATCCTGATCGTGGCAGGCTAAACTCTTCCAACAGACATCTTCAACCTCCCTCATTCACACAGGTCTGTTTCCTACCTGCACACTACAGTCTACACCACAAATGTGTGCACCATTTTATACAACCCCATGGCTTTCTTGCTGTCTAAGGCTTCAGGTGCCTTCTCTATTAAATACAAACCTAAGTAAGATGAGACTCTGTTCCCATGCCAACATTAACACTCACACTTGGGCCAATTGCACACATATATTTCACAACAGTTTTACACAGAATGCTAAGAGCACTTTTCTTCATATTTTACAAAGTGCTTGAAACATATGGACTTTCTATTATATACCAAAGTACATCCAACTCTAATTCCTAAATAGATGCATTACAATTTGTTGTAAATTTAAAGGCTTAATGGCAAGGACCAGGGGAGGAAAAAAGAATATGTAGGTTTATTTTACACAATTGGTTGAAAAATAAATTCAAGAAAGTAAATAGAATTTAATATGGTCTCATTCGCCCCGAAGGAGGTGGTGCTCGATTTGGAGGGGTGATTGCTATGTCCAGATAATCACCTATTTGGAACTTCTGTGACTGCAGGGTCATGGAATCATCAGTTCCCTTTCTGCCAGACATGGTGCTGCCAATCTCCTTAACTCTGCAGGAAAGGAAATCAACTGTTAATGAACTATAATTGATCAGTGAAACAGAGACTACTGAGAGATCATGAAATGATCTGCTTCATCATTGAACATAGTTCAAGGTACTGTATTAGGCTAAACCAAATGTTCTAAACCTATAGACACCATCCTCCACTAGAGAGGGTCATTAAAGGAATTATTCCAAAGCCAAGCATGGTGGTATATGCCTATAATTCCAACACTCAGGAACCTGAAACAGGATGATTGACAGCCTGGGCTACATACTGAGATCCTGTCAGAAAGAAAAGAGGGAAAGTAAAGGAAGAAAAGATCATTCTTACTAGTTAAAATATATCAAAACCAAAAGGAAATAAAAGGAACTGAAGTCACCTACCGATAGCCAGGTCTTTTAAGATCCATAAAAACAATGGCGAAATTGAAGTGTGTGCCCTTCTTTCTAGCTTCTGGGTAGACTTCTTTTACCAAGCTAGTCAGTTCTTTCAAGGTTGCATCCATCCTGATTTTTTTTTTTAAAAAAAGAGGATTTGCTTAATAAGCAATACTATAATGATATTAAAAACAGCAATACATGCATGAGTTTTTTTGGTCTTTTTTTTGAGAGGATCTCCCTGTAGTCCCAGCTTGCCTGGAACTTGCTATGTAGACCAGGCTGGCCTTGAACTCAGAGAGCCACCTGTTTCTGCCTCCTAAATGCTTGGATTAAAGGGGTGTACCACTACACCTGGCTATACTAAAATTTAAAGCACCTAAAAATACTATTTGTGAGCTGGTGGGATGGCTCAGCAGGTAAAGGGTACTTGCCTGCACAAGCCTAGAAACCTGTGTTGGGACATGTCAAGGTGAAAGGAGAGAACCAACTCTTAAAAAGTGCGACATGTACCCCCACACACACACCAAAGAAAGAAAACACACTACTTTATATTCCCTGTGCCAGCCTCAATGCTGAAAATTTCAATAAATTAAAGACTGAGTGCTATAGGGCCTTAGGAGACTCCACGTGTCCTCTTCAGATGCTACATAACATCTCATCAGTGGTCTACTTATCTGAAGTCCAAATTATTCAAGTACAAAAAAATACCTCATAGGCCAGGCGTGGTGGCACACACCTTTAATCCCAGCAGAGGCAGGTGGATATCTGTGAGTTCAAGACCAGCCTGGTCTACATAGTGAGTTCCAGGACAGCTGGGGCTACAGGGAGACCCTGTCTCAAAAAGACACACACAAAAAACCCCTCATTTCTAAGATACATATGTACTAGGGAAGCATTTCTGTAAGGATATGCAATGCTCATTCACAAGTATGTTAATTTTTTTTTTTTTTAAGAGAGGGTTTCATTGTGTAGCCCTGGCTGATCTGGAACTCATTAGACTAGCCTCATATTCAAAGATCCATCTGTCTACCTCTGCTTCCCCAGTGCTGGTTAAAGGTATGTGCCACCACACTGAACTATTTCTACCTCATTAAAATTTTTTTTTTAAATTTTATGTGTATGAGTGTATTTCCTGCATGTATGTGGGTGCACTTGTCATGCAATGTCTGTGGAGGTCAGAAGAGTATATCAGATCCCCTGGAACTGGAGTTACAGTTGTTGGCCACCACTGAGTCATCTCTCCAACCCCATTATTTCTACCTCTTAAATACAGATACAAATCTATTTTTTCCTCTATCCCCAACTTTAGTATCATGTTCAATTTATCTCTGCTTCTTTTGTTGTTTCTGGTGCTGGGGTGAAATCCAGGGTTGCTTGCATGCTAAGCAAGCACCCTACTACTGAGCTATACCTACCTTCAGCTCAAATTTCTTTTTGTGTAAAACTGCATGTGGAAGTGCCACCTATTATTACCTCCTACATGGACAACAAACAGTAATACTAATGCATGATCCCAGGCTACCAACCTACTAAATGACTGTAGGTGTAATAAGTCATCTAGACAGTACTTGAATTACCATAAACACTTTGCTCACAAAGATGGGTCACCTTCAAAAGTAAGCAAAGTTTTCCCCAAGCTATAGGGAAAGATGATACACACATAAGCACCACTCTCACATAACAGGCAAAGTCTCACCTCTGGACTCTCCCCACTGGAAACAGCAGTAGGGTAGGCCAGGTGCCAACTAACAGCAAGGAAAAAAGCATACAAGAGCCAGGTGTGGTTGATAACACCTTTAATCCCAGCACTGTGGATACAGAACAGGCAGAGTTCTGTTCTGAGTTTGAGGCCAGCCTGGTCTCCATCGTGAATCTAGGCCAGCTGCTGTAACTACAGGGAGACCCTGTCTCAAAAAACCAAAAAAAGGGCTCAGTACAGGGAAAGATATTTCCAAACAAACAAATCTGCACAAGACAGGCTATAAAATTTCTACATCTTGCCAAGAAAATGTTTCAGACCAAACACTATTCTATGCCGCCATGCAAGGAGGAATAATACATGCCTATTTCTTAAAAAGAAGGGAAAGCCATATTGAAGAATGCAATAATCATAGCCTAAATCTCACCAACGGGGAAATAACCAGTGACATTGACATGCATATGCACAACATAGTACTAAAACTGTTTTTTAAGCAGAGTGTAATGGTGTACGCTGTTAATCCCAGCACTCAGGAGACAGGCAGGTGGATCTCTGTGAGACAGGCCATCCCAGTCTACATGGTGAGTTTCAGGCCAGGTGAGGCTACAGATCTTGTCTCAAAAAAAACAAACTTAAGATATCATGCTATATAATGTGGAGACTGTAACACAAAAGTATTAATTCATATTATGAATATCTGTTTCTTACATTTAAAAAAAAAAATTTGCCTGCATGTAAGTGTACCCCATGTGTGCAGTGCCCACAGAAGCCAGACGAGGGCATCAGATACAGATAGTTGTCAGTCTCCATTTGGGTGCTGGGAATTAAATCTGTGTCCTCTGCTCTTAACCTCTCTCCAGACCCTTGAGGTGATTTTTAAAGTAAAAAGATTGACTTCTATAATCTGGGTGGGCCTGCTCTTATCAGTTGAAAGGCCCTAAGAGCAGACCTGAAGCTTCCTAAAGAAATTCTGGCTATGGATATAAATTTAGATTTGTGCAAAGAGTTCCAACGAATGAGAAGCCTGCGCTATATATTTGGGACCCAGGAGTCTATCTAGTTTACATAACCATATAAGCTAATTCTTTGCAACCAGGCTGCATACTGGCTGTTTTTCTGGTTACTATGACGAAGAGATCTTAGTAGTTTTTCTTCCAATAACCTCCTTGATGACCACCAAGCACAGAACTTCTATGGTGACTGGCTTGCTGCCTAAGCTTTACACAGCATCTAGAGCTTCAGCAGTCTTTCTTTGCTGGTCCTCTGGACTTCTTTCCTCCTTGCCCTTGAGCTAAGGCTACCTACAGCCAGCCCTCTGCATCTGTGGATTCTGTATCCACAATTCAACCAACTATAGATCAGAAATAGAAATTGTTCCTGTATTTAACATATACTTTCAATCTGAGAGCTATAGTTTGCAAAGCTAATATTGGCATTTCTGGTGTACTGGGTATTAAGAGTCAGCACAGATGCAGCCAGGTATACTGGTGTACACACACACACACATACACACACACAAAACCTTTAATCCCAGCACTCTTAAGACAGAAGCAAGCAGATCTCTGAGTTCAAGACCAGCTAATATTTGCATTTCTAGTGTACTGGGTATTAAGAATCAGCACAGATGCAACCAGGTGTGGTGGTACACACACACACCACTTTAATCCCAGCAGTTTTAAGGCAAGCACATCTATGTGAATCCAAGACCAGCCTGATCTACACAGCAAATTCCAAGCTAGCTAGGCTACCATGAGACCATGGCTATTAAAAACAACAAAATATTTTAGGGAGTTGGAGGTATGGCTCAGCAGTTAAGAGCACTGGCAGCTCTTGCAGGAGACCAGAACCCACATGTTGTCTAACAATGGTTCAGAACTCCAGTTCCAGACGATCTGACACCCTCTTCTGGCCTCTGTGGGTACTGCACACACAGGTAAACTTAAATACATGCAGGTAGAAACAGGAAGATCTCCCATGCAGATTAACATAGTGGCAAGGCCAGACAGGGCTGCAGGGAGACCCTGTTTCAAAAGGTAGACATAATTTTAAAATATACATTTTTGTTTTACTGCTTTTCAAAATCCATTAAAATGTTAATACAAAGGATAAACTTGTATGATCCTAGCTGACAAGGCACCAAGGCAGATACACCAAGATAAAACCAGTCTTCACTAAAACAACACCAAAAGCATTTACATTATGTGGTAGAGCAGAAATTTCGGGGTTTGGTGCTAATTTTTAATTTCTGGTGTTATGATTCTTAAGGTTCAGTACTGCAGTGCTCTCTGAGGATCCCACGCATTCTTAATTCCTTTCATGGTCCGATCTTATAGATGGAGTCCCTCAAGGGCAGCAGTTACATTTCAAATCACCTACGTATTTTTAGTACTGGGCAGCCATCACGGTAATGGCAGTGTTGCATCTGTTCATTCAACATCAATCATAAAAACGTTACAAGATGGGTAAACTCCCTTCGGCCCTCCTGAAAACCCCCACTCTGAGGTCCAAGCCTCGGCGGAAATTTAAAAGGCAGGTCTTCCCGGCTGACAACCCGCGGGGCAGCTGTCGGCCACCGGCCCGGAGCGCTCACCAAGTGTAGATCTGCAGCTCGCTCGAGGGCACGTTTCCGCGGGAGAACTCATCCATCCTGTGGTGGCGGCCGTTATTGGTGGTGAAGACTCGCAGCAACAGCGGGCACGTCTGGAAGAAGCGGCAGAGTCAGCGGGGCGACGGGTGCGCGGCTCGCGTCCTCCAAGTGCGGCGGCCTCCGAGCGGCCCCGCGCATAACCCCGACGTCCGCACGCAAGCCGTGCCGCGTCCCCCCACCGCCCTGGCCAAGCCGCCCTCACCTTCTCGCGGTCGATCGGTTTCTCTGGCTCCTTCTTAATTTCTTCCTGGGTAACGCGCGATTCCACCGCCATCTTTCTCCTTCGGCCCGGGAGACGCTCGCCCTGACCTCCGACCCCCGCAGCGAGCATGAGCAAGTAGTCTCTCGCGAGGAAACGCACGAGGCTTTATAGTGGGCGAGAGGCGGGGCGGGGCAGGGCGGGGTGGGGCGTCAAGCGACGCATGCGCGTTTCTTGTGGAGCGCTGCCCGACGCGCCTACGGGTTGCGCCCGGGGAAATGTGGGGGAGGGGCTCACGCATGCGCGGAGGAGTACAGCTGCGGAGTACAGAAGCCGTAATCGTCCGCCGTTTGACGGTTCCGTCCATTTAAGGGCTCGCAGCCGAAATAACTTAAAGAAACATTCTCATACGTAGTGAGGCAAACTTTCAGCTAACTTTAGGTGTTTAAGAACTCTCAGGGCAATGTAAAAATGTGGACGGGTAGTGAGAGTTATGATGGATAACAGACGGCCTTATGTGGACCCGAGGTGAGAGGCATTCCTGGAGAGGGATGGGGCCTTTTCAGTTAGTGATGCTGAAACACTCCGAACTGGGGAAGAAAATGGATTGGTCTCCTCCCATGCCACACGCAAATCAAAGACCTAAACGTAAGCTGCGAAACGAAGTTTTTTGGAAATAATGCAGACTGTCTTCAGGCCCCAGGAATATGAGCGACAAAAACTACCGTCCAGAAAAGGATACATTTAACTGGATTTAAAAACCTTCAAAATATGGGGCTGGAGATGGCTCAGCAGCTAACAGCCATAAATCCAGTTCCAGGGAATCCCACACCTTCTACTTCCCCCAGCTTTGTGTGTCCCAGTGCCTTATTTACATTCAGGCAAAACATTCATAAAAACTTTTTTTTTTTTTTTTTTTTTTTTTTTTTTTTTAAAAAAGGGCTCAGCCCCAGCTGTCCTGGAACTCATTATGTAGACCAAACTGGCCTCGAATTCACAAATATCAGCCTGCCTCTGCCTCCCAAGTGCTAGGATTAAAGGCGTGCGCCACCACGCCTGGCAAACAAATATTTTTTTAAAACCTTCACAATAGCTGGCGTGGTGGCCCCCGTTGGGGAGGCAGAGGCAGGCAGATGTCTGAAATCGAGGCCAGTCTGGGCTACATAGGGAATTCCAGGCCAACTGGAGCCGCGGGGAGGCCCTGTCTCAAATAACCCTCCAACCCTTCACAATACATTGTAGAGCACAGGAAGATAATTCATGAAGCATATTTTGAGAAAAGCTACTATTCCAAGTATGTAAGAGCTCAGCAAGAAGATAACTCCAGTGAAACTGGACATCCCTCCAAAAACCTGGAGAGTTGCTTTAAGAATGAAGTTTGAGCCAGGCATGGTGGCGCACGCCTTTAGTCCCAGCACTTGAGAGGCAGAGGCAGGTGGATCTTTGCGAGTTCGAGGCCAGCCTGTTTTACATAGTGAGTTCCAGGACAGCTGGGACTACAAGGAGACCCTAATCTCAAAAAGACAAAAAAAAAAAAGAAGTTCAAAATAATAAGCAAATCAAGTATTGAAATCATTAAAGCTGTAAAGATTGCTTTTAATGGATTGGATTTTTCTTAATTTGAAAAAATTAAAAGCTGAGGCTGAAGAGGTGGCTCAGGGGTTAAGAGTACTTCTCCCAGAGGACCCTGGTTGGATTCCCAGCACACACATGGCAGCTCTGTCACCCTCTTCCACCCTTGCAGGCACTACTTATATACCAGTATACATACCAACATTCAAAACACTTGTACAAATGAAAATAAATCATAAAAGAATTAGAAACCAACAATAGAGGTGTTGGCAGACTAATGGGAATTCACAGGCACTGCTGATGAGACTATAAATTGATAAGCACTTTTTGGAAAGTAGGGCTGTTTAGTGCAGTTAAAGACACATCCTTTAAACTGGGCGTGGTGGCACACACCTTTAATCCCAGCACTTGGGAGGCAGAGGAAGGCTGATTTCTGTGAGTTCAAGGCCAGCCTGGTCTACATGGTGAGTTCCAGGACAGCTGGGGCTACAGGGAGACCCTGTCAAGTGCATCAGAGACATTGTAAGAATGCTGTTAGATCACCGAGACTGCCCCTGTAGAAGGGATCAGCCATTACTTATATCCTGTCAAGTACAGTCTCTAAACTGCTCTACTTCTAGCCAGTATCATCCCTAAGGCAGGGTGGGACAATAGGATTAACTGCCTAAATTAATGCCTTACATCTAGTACCTTCACTAATCTGCTAAATTCAGAGCCCTGTCCCCTCTAAGCTCAGAGACCTCTGCCTTCTAAAATCTACCAGTAAGTCCACCAGTTATTCTGGTTCTTGTTGGGTCTCTACCATGTTTCAGGTTCTCCTGCCATGAGTGGCTGGCATTAACCTTTTAACTTTATCATCTGAGATGTATCTCAGCACATCTCTCTACTGAAGCTGGAAAGAACTCTTCATTATGTAAAACAGCCACATTAGGTTTTGTTTTGTTTTGTTTGGGTTTGGGGTTTTGTCTTACTTGGTTTGGACTGGTTTTTGAAACAGAGTCTCTCTAGCTCCAGCTGACCTGGAACTCACCATGTAGACCAGGCTGGCCTCAATCTCACAGAGATCTGCCTGCCTTTGCCTCCTAAGTGCTGGAATTAGAAGTGTGTGCCACCATACCCAGCTTTGTTTTGTTTTTTAGAGATAGGTTTTCACTACATATACCAGGCTGACTTCAAACTCACAGAGATCTGCCTCCACATCCAAAGTGTTGGAATCAAAGTCATGTGTGCAACCATGCCTAGCTAACCATGTTGTTTTAATAATATAAAATTAAGCTGGTGGTCTGAACATTTGGCAGGTTGAGGCAGGAGGACTGGGATTCAAGACCATCCTTGGCTACATAGTAAATTTGAGGCCAGCTTGACCACATGAAACCTTCTTTCAGAATTTAATTTAATTAAATCGCCAGGAGTGGTGGCACACACCTTTAATCCCAGCTCTTGGGAGGCAGACGAAGGCAGAGCTCTGTCAGTTCAAGGCCAGCCTGGTCTACATAGTGAGTTCCAGCCCAGCTGGGGCTACAGGAAGACGCTGTGTCAAAAAAGACCAAAAAATTAATTAATTAATTAATTAAATCAAAAGAATGAAAAAGAACAATCTAAGGTCCACCAATAGTACAGTAATTCATTGAATTGACATATACTATACTGTATAAACATTTTTAAACAAGCCAGGCATGGTAGCACAGGTCTGTAATCCCAGCACTGGAAAGACTGAAACAGGAAGATTGTAAATTCAAAGCCAGCCTGAGCTGCAGAGTACTATCTGAAAAACAAAAAGTGCTAAGCTAGGGTAGGGTATACATACCAGCAATCCTAATATTTGGGAGACTGAGGCTAGAGGGTCAGAAGTTCAAGACCAGCCTAGGATTCATAGGAAGGCCCTGTCTCAAAACAAAACAAAATCCTATAACAATAAATACTGTACAGCAGCAAAAATTTACAGACTGTAGATATAAGAAACAATGGACTTGACAAATATTATGGTGAGCGGAAGAAGCTAGACACAAAAGAATAGACATTGCATGAATCCATTTTTATAGCATTCAAAAGCAGGCAATCCTAAAATATATTGTTCAAGATGATTCCCAGGTGATAAGACTCTGAGGTAATTATAAATACAAGGTCAGATGATAATTACCCCTGAGGAGAGAATGCACCATTATAAGGGGGTAGTAAATGGACTGATTCTGGAGAGTTGGCAGCAGTTTGTTTTCTTTTTTTCTTTTGTCTTTTTGAGACAGGGTCTCCTTGTAGCCCCAGCTGTCCTGGAACTCACTATGTAGACCAGCTGGCCTTGAACTCACAGAGATCCGCCTGCCTCAGCCTCCCAAGTGCTGGGATTAAAGGCGTGTACCACCATGCCTGGCTTGTTTTTTTTTTTTTTTAAGTAAGTGATAGTTATATGGTTGCTCGAATTTAAATTATTCTTTTAAAGGTGTGTTTAAGCTTGAAGTGGTGGCACATACCTCTAATATCAGCACTTAGAAGGCTGAGGCAGAAGGATCATTGTGAATTTGAGGCCAGCCTAGACTACATAACTGATTTCCAGGCCAGCCTGGGCTAAGAGGAGGGAGACTCTGTTCCAAGAAAAAAAAGTTAAAAATTAAAAAAAAGGAGGGGCCTCATCGAAGGCCTGACAACCTGAGTTCAATCCCTGGGACCCACATGGTAGAAGGAGAGAATTGGCTCCCAAAAGTTTTCCTCTGACCTCCACATGCGTGCTATGCATTCAAGTGTACCCACACTAAATAATAAATAAATGCAATTTTAAGCATAAATTGAAAAAAAGGGAAGGAAAACATTTATATTTTATGCACCTTTCTCTACCAGCACTATACTATTAAACAAAATGACTTCACAAAGAACAACCAATGCCTGTGAATTGAAAAAAAGAAAAGATAATCCAAAGGCTTGAAGACAGTTTCAAGGTCTAGCTCAGTTGGTAGAGTGTTTGCTTAGCATGCTTGAGGCCCTGGATTCAATCCCCAGCACAACATAAACTGGGTATGGTAGCAGTCAGGAAGAGGAGGCAGGAGGACCTGGAGTTCAAGGTCATCTTTGACTATGTTGTGAATTTGAGGCTACCCTGGGATATAAGAGACACTCTCAAATCACAGAAGGGAGGGAGGGAGGGAGGAAAGTCTAAGAGAAAACAGACAAAACCCATTATTAAATGTAAATAAAGGATAAATGTGAAAAGATGCACAACCAACCTCATGAACAGTCAGAGAAATACACTTTATGTATGTACATATGTATGTATGCATATTTTATGTGTATGAGTGTTTTGCCTGCATATAAGTGCACCCATGTCATGCAATACCCACTGAGGCCAGAAGAGGGCATCAAATCCCCTGGAACTGGAGTTGTGAACAGTTGTTCTTGTTCCTCTGCAAGAGCAGCCAATGCACTTAACCACAGGGCTATCTCTCCAGCCCCCGATTTTTTGTTTTTTGAGGCAAGATGTCACCATGTAGACCTGGCTGACCTCTAACTCACTGTGTAGTCCTGGCTGGCCTTAAACTTGCAGTAGTCTTTCTGCTTCTGTCTCTTGAGTGCT